GTATAAATTAGCATAGAAATTAGATCAAAATGCTTAACTATTAAAAGAGTAAAGTTTCAGAATAGCCTTCCTGAGAGTTGATTTCCTTGGGTAAGAAAAAAAATAGAGTTTGATAGTTAAGAACAACAGTTATGTGAATATGGTTCTCAAGATAGCACATATACTAAGTTTTTTAACCCAGGAGATAAATTACAGAAGAGATTGAAGATTTGGTTTGATCTGACTTTCAAACAAGCCTCCTATTAACTTTAAAGCAATGGTATTTCTAATAGCCTTAGAATAAGTACTGAAGTGTAGTAAAGTTATAGTAGACAAAGAACTCCATGTGGAAACAATCTTCTAAGATACCATCCTTTAAAATCTGTATGTATTCAGTCTTTTATTTTCTTTTTTTCCTTCCTTCAGTGGGTAAAATTGTCAAGACTAATTTTACAGTACCGTAGCTCACTAGGTARTAGAGGAATTTTAGAGGAATAGAAAATAGAGGAAGCACAATTTTTTTCAAGATTAAAACAGAAACAAAGGCCTAGTAACCTCAAAAGCAGCTGACATGCTTTTTCAGCTTTCTATAAACATTTCCTTATCCARTTGGGAGCCTGACATAGTCTTCCAAACTAAGTACTACACTCACAAATGTTTCTTTTATAATCATGAAAAAATGTGTTTCCCAAGAATTTATTGTTCAACAAAAAAACAAAAACAAAAAAATCAGGATGGTGAGGCTTGAGGGCACCTTTACATATTTCCACGATTTACTGATATTTTGCACCCCTGTTTATACTCGGAAAGTATCAACAGCTCCTAAACAATTAGTTTGCCAATCTTGCATAACTCCTGCTTAGCGTGTCCCTGTGCGTGCGATTGGTCTCTGCTTTGGCTGCAGAAGGGGTGACTTTCTCAGAGCTCGAGAGGGAGTGACATTGTCAGAGCTTGGGGGAAAAAAGTTAGGTTTTCACTATCTGTAAAGTGTGGTGCCTGCTACACAAAAAAAAAAAAAAAAGAAAGGAAAACAAGGTCTAGAAGTGTCTACAGAAGGCAAAAGAAAAGGTCATCTTGGGAGGAAATAAAGGAACATAAATATTGGATTTTTTCTATAGTTTTATGTAATACTGAGAGAACATGTCCAGCTAAATCTTATTCCACCGTTACTGTGCTGATGTTTACAGAAGCCTTATAATATTTTSTGTCTGAAATGCTTCCTCTTAGTGCTCAAGACCACGCAATACTGCATTTTTATCTTTTTTCCTCCATGAGAAGCAGAATTTTGAGGCTGCACTTTGTCATTCAACACAGATGTTTTACTTTGAAATGCTGCATCAATAATATGTTGACATCTTTAGAGAATTATTGAGTAGAGTGAAGTCGGTGAGTCCAGCATTCATGAAGTTCAAAGAGCAAAAGCAATAGCATGTTGTCAGAATCACTTTTATTTTCATCCTTACAGTGTAGTTTTCTACCTCAGAAGAGGATATAGGTCAGCTTGGTGCTGTCACATTTTCCCCTAYGAATGGAGGGGCCAGGATAGATACAAAAAAAGCTAAATATCTCTGTGGGAGAGAATGATTCTCTCAACACGGAGAATGTGACCACCAAAGAAAACTGTCATCGAGCTTAGACAGCGTGTAGATAAAGGGATGATTTAAAAAATATCAGCTGAAACATCTATTGAAAAAAAGTAGTAAAAGATGTACAGGGAGAAAGTACACAGGTGGAATTACTTTTTAGAGAATTATTCCTGAAATTGAAGTTGAAACAAATATAACCCCAAAGGTGGAAGAAATATTGCTTTAATTTTAAGCAGGAATGATAATCTTGCTTAAGAGCAAGAGKAGGTCAAAATGTTACCTTAAAAATTTGTGGAAACAAAAATCAAATTGTCGTGTTGTAGATACTATTTTTCATTTCTGAATTCTGAAACAACTGAGATAATGAACTAAAATTTCAGTAAGTAGGATTTTTATCTGGTTCACTCTGCCATTAATAATGTGTTGTGACTAGAGAATGTTTAAGAAACTGAGAGGAAATTCATGATTTGGGCAATTACAGATCTCTTAGTGTAATCTTTATTTTTTTTTTGTCTTGCCAATGAGCACATCTGACAAAAGGTAGGAGGGGTTGCCAGTTTACCCCAGAGATTGAGGTTGTCGTCACCATATTAATTTGGTAATAACAGCCTTGGTAAAGAAAGAGGCTAATTGATCATAAGACAATCAGATAAGGTATTTTCAGTGCAGCCCAAGAAGTATTAATCACCTCAGTAAAAGGGTTGGTGAGTCAGCTGAAATGCTACGCAGAAGCTTTTAAAAATGAAGCAGGTGCCAAAGCTTCTAGATCATGTTTTCAGAAAACCTGAATCAAGAAGGGAAGCTCAAGAAACCAAAGTGTTTTAACACTGAAAACCAGAAGGTGATGACAATTCATCAGTGCCTGTGAAAGTATTTAAAGAGTAGAAGAGGATCCAAGAGCTTTAAAATGTTCAGACAGATGTGTCTTATATGCAGTAGAGCTTAGCTGCCATTCAAAAACCTACTCATTGAGTTCTTTTTTTTTAAGCTATTAAATGAGTGAGTTACTTCAGTTTGGCCTWGGGTTAACTCTGAAAAACCCTGAGATTTAATTTTATCTTCTACCATTCTTCTAATTCCCTTCYGATTTCATACCATATTTTCTAGAGGGGCACTGAGGTAGTGTTGGCAGGTTTTTCTGTTATGTGGGATCTTTTTGTTGAAGAGCTGCTTATATTCTATTTTCAATTTCCCTCTTTTCGGTAAATTGAAAGCTGTAGAGACAGAAAGCTGGAGTAACACCAGTATATTGCGAGCTGGCTGCTCTTCAAGACTGTCACTAGAAATAGAGACTTAAAGGAAAATAAATCTAATGGATGGTCATTGCTAAAATCAAAGGAGTGTTCAGTTTATACTCAGGATCGAGTTAAGATCTTGACAGAGAAAATAATCTTCAGAATAGTCAGGTGAAGATTCTTGAAAAAATATTTAATTGTTCAAAGTAAAAAAAAAAGTAATAGAAATAAAATATTGTCTTACTAGAAGCAAAAGTTCAAAAATCTCCATGCCAAGAGCTGATTAACAGACATGGGGATTTTATATCTGGCAAAAAAGATCTTTTTCAGTTGATGCAGATTWAAAAACAATGAACACACACCAAAACCGTCTCCTTGCTAGGTCTGATCTTTTTAACTGTGTTATCTTAATTTTATGCTGCAATCTCTTTATAGGCAAGACAAAACATATTGCTCAGAAATCTCTCTGAAATTGATAGTGATATTAAACCTAGGTATATATTCTGTTTCTTATYACCTTTCTAAATAATACCTTAAATAATATCTTAATATTGTATGTGCCCACTCACAAAGAAATTCTTTTGCCAGTGGAATTATGAATTTGTATGTAACTATCAGTTTTCTTTCTATTTCTGAAACATATGAAGACTCAGACACATCTGTAATTGGCTTTGTAAGCTTCTAATTTTAGCTGTGCTGCTCAGACGAGGTAGTTTGTGCAGATGCAGGGCKGGCCGACCTACCTGGTGGTGAGGAGGGTTCATCAGTTGCATAGTGAGAGCCTGCCAAGCCTGAGATACAATTGGAAAATGGTGGTGATCAGACTAAAATTTTAGACTTTTAGTTTCAGAAATCAGACATTGTCTTTTTTTTTTTTTTCCCCAATTACAGTATGTATTCACATATTATATTACAACTTTTATTATTAGAAAAATTGATTATTACTCTCTTTGGAAACCGGTACGATTGCCTGCGCTAGCATTTCCATGGGTTGGCACTGATTGTTTTATAGCTGAAGTAACATTTCTACTACAAATGGAATTATAGCTGCTATGCAGCATTTTAATCCAGTCATTTGGGGACTCTTATCAGTCTTTTATAAGAAAAATATTCAATCTGTGAGTGTATCTCATTTTTCTGTCATATGACTCTAATCAGAGGGTGAAATCATGGATCCGTCACAGATCCTATTGATATCATAGATCCATAAACTTTCTTTCTGGATTTTAGAGCTATAATATGTTTATAGGAATAATGTATTATGAATATAAGAAATAAGGAAAAAACCTAAGTGTGTTATTAGATTAAAGTTTAGAGTATGTTCTTATTCATATATGCATTGGACTTTATGACATATGGGCCACCTGTTAAATATGAAACATAACGTTTAAGTTTACTTCATAAATGATCACAATGTAGCTATTTAATTATTATAAATCCAACATATTTTACATTCTCTGATGAGTTTCTCTCATAGTACTATTCATGTTATAATATTTAAGTTAACTGTTTGAAGTTTAGGTGTTCAAATTCTTATCCTTGTTTCAAACGGTTGAATGTTAAATTTCTCTTCTCCTGGTAAAACAATCTTGTAGTTTTTCTACATCTCTGTATTTGGCTTGAGCTCTTTGGCTCTGATGAATTYAGTTGGGCGTTGTACCAGGCATTGTGCTTTCCAACTAGGCAACAGGGTCTTGGATTTCAAGTTTAGGCTTTTAATTCCYCTGTTTTCTCTGTTTTGAGGTTCCTGTTTTCTTCATGACAAAAAGCTCAGGCTTTCTGTTTTAACCGAATGAGACTGGGGAAAGCATTGTGGGTACTGGAGTCGCTTCAGGTCTTTGTCTGTAGGAGTTAATCAGAAGATACAGGACAGACTGATATATATTCATCCCTAGTTACTTGAAAAAAAAAAAAAAAACCAAGAAAACCCTGCTAGTGGAAAACCTTAAGTTAGAAAAAGTTTTGTGTTGTGCAGACTCACAAACTGCATATATCTATCCAGAATAAGTCCACCATTATAAGTGAGGAGAACTAAGTGTAGTGTGAGCGACCTATTTGTCTTGTTACAGCAATTCATTTAATGAGTTTTTTATTTCAGAATTGAACTGGTATACAGGTTTGGATAATGTTATAACTCATGGACTTTACAAGCAATACTTTACGCTTAAGGTGTTAACAGAACGTATGTACTATATTTTAGTCTCAGCAGAAAACCTGGAGAAGAGCCTGAAGTATATGGAAAAGCAACTTCAACAGCTTGAAAAGGATTTACAGACTTTTCCAGTTCCTGAAGATAAGCACGATAAGTTTGTGGCAAAAATGTCTATATCCTTTGGAGTATTTGTAAAAGAGGAAAAGAAGCAATTTAGATACACTTAGATTTTTATTTTTGTGCATAATCTTAACCTAGACTGTAGCATTTGTTTCTGAAAAACATAATTCTTATTTGATAAATTACCTTTATGGATTTTGAAACCATGCTTCTAATCTTTTATTCCACATTTTGCAGTTAAAGCTGTCTGTATCTCTCAAAAGAAATCCTTGTGGCATAAAAACATTTAATTAAAGCAGAGAAAAGCATTCTGTAGCTCAAACCTCCCTAGCAGATGTTTGCCCTGTGCGCTTGTCACTGAGGATATCCTGGAAGCAGAATATCGGCATCAGCTGAGGGAGAGGGGTTGAAAATTGCTTGGCAGCAATAGCGGAATTTTTATGATTACAGGAAGGCTCCTTTGCCATGTACAGAGTCAGGAGGACTTAGTTATTCAGTCCTCTTGATTAATCAAATAGTATTAAGTAAAAAACAGCAAGAGACCTGTAACAGGCTCTGAGGGAAATGCTGGCTCCTGTCATTGCTGCTTTAGGGTCAATTCCCTCTTCAGTGGAATAACTGCAGCGCACTTGGCTTGGTGTCCCCGGACTCCCTGCGGTGTCCTTACAACCCTGCCTTTGTTACTGCTTTCTGCGAGCCTGGAGGTGGTGGTGCTTGTTCCTCACATGCTTGGGCTTTTGTTTGTTTATTTTCTCTTGGTGTGGATGTTTTGTTTTGTTTTCTTGTTTTCTTTTTGCTTTGTTAGCTTGTTTTTTTCCCCAACTTGAAGTGTTTCCAAGAGATATGTTGCAAGGCACCAGAGTAGTGTCTCCATGGTATGATACACATGTGTCCCTGAAGAAGCAAATAAAACAGATGAGAATTAGGAGAAGAGGTTCTGAAGGCAAGAGGAAGAGTATTGCTAGAAGGTTAGAGGAAAATATATCCATGACAGCATTCTCAGGAACACTGCCAAGATAGGCAGAGACAAACTCTGTGCTTGGTTAGGAAATGATATGTGTAACAGAAAGTTAGGAATAGGAAAATAAACTCTTAATTTATTAAGAAATATTTACTAAACTAAAAATATTAAAATTAGATTAAACCTGAAAATTCTGAAATTCTCTTCATACTGGCATTTGGCAAACTTTATAGACTTTTTAGCTCTAAACTGAGGACTGGACTTACAGGGAATGCATAATTTAGAGTAGAAGCTTTATTTGGAGATGTGACCATAAAGGTTCCTTGCCTTTGGAAAAAAAAAAAAAAAAGACATAGAATAGAGGAATAGCTTAAAGAAATTAGTTTTACTTAAGAAAGAAAGCACAAGAAATCAAGGAATGAATATGTTCTTCTATGCCAGTATCAGACAGCTAAAATCCAAAAGTGATTAATAGGTTGCCTTATTTCACTTCTGTGTCATTAACGTAATGGGCATTCCTTAAACTTGCTATCAGGAAGTTAGTAGGATGCTGTGTTCCACATTATAAATTACATTTGAGACAGAATTGGTCACAGTGGTGGCGTAGTAATGTAGTAAGTTAAAATATGATAAAAGTCAGGTAGGGTTAATAGGTAGACCTTGTGTATAAATACATTGACTTTTCTGTAGATTTAAACACCATATAAGAGAAGTATTATGGCAATTTACTGATCACTTAACAGGCAAGAGTGATCATTGTAAGAAATGCAGAGGAAGCTCAATGCATCTTTGTTTTAAAGCATCTCAGAAGCAGGAATTCTGCCAGAGGAGATGTAGCCCTGATAGATGGTCAAAGCTTACAAAGAAAATAAAGCCATAATGGAAAAGCTAAACGAATTCTTTACATCATTTTTCACTAGGGAGAAATGTTGGTTTCTGAGGGACRATCTGAAATGGTGGAGTCAATAGAAGTTTAAAAGAAAACAAAATAAACAGTAATAAATCCCTAGGAATAAGGCAGTGGTCACTACAGACTAGCAAATGACTTGAAAGGGAGCCCCTTCAAGGGACTTGAAACTGTTGGACTATGGAAACTTAAGTGAACCTCTACRTTGGCTCTAGACACCATGGAATGGAAACCAACAAGGCGTACCTCAGTTTTTTAAAAGTGCTGTAAGAAAGAAGTGAGAATTGCAGGTTAGTAATCCGGCTTCTGTACCAAGAAAATTAACAGAGAACCGCATAAAAATAGAACCCGTTTAAATGGGAGATAATGATACTGGGAAAAGATGGTATAAATTGGTTGTTTGGTTTGTTTTAAGGAAGAACATGCCCCACAAATCTCTTACAGCATGCAGAAAAATGGCAGAGCATTCCTGAATTGCCAGATTGCTTCCCAAAACATGCTTTAAAAAAGACTTCCAAAGAAACAAACTTGTCAGGTGAAAAGCAGAATAATTGTTTTTTTTCTGRATTAATATATAATTAAAAAAAAATAACAGAAGTCATGACATAAGGCAGATACTGAATGATTAGTTTAGAAAAGGGGCAGGTAAATTTCTGTAATTATGGAGTAATGCRTAAAAATACATGTAATTTTTTTACRCCAATAAAGAGGAGTGTTGGGAACATATTGTTTCTTATGACCAGGGTTCTTCATGTAAATATGCAACTGCAAGTTAAAACCTACTAATGGCAATGCTTTATACACGACAGGTACTTTAACTGTAGCATTTACCTTTCTGGATGTGGCAGAGGTTGAAAATAATAAATAAATTTCATAGAGGGCTTAGTTACCTAATGGTAGTATTTCTGGAGCTGTTAAACACAATAGTCCAGGGGCAGTTTTATCTTGGGAAACCACTGACCTGCAGGCTGCTAAAAGCTGATCCTCCATCAGCTGAGGTTCTGCACTCTGCTTCCCTTGTTTGCTTCCTGCTTTCCCTAATCACTGGGAGTTGACTGCTGCCAGCAGCATGAGATGAATATTTGGTCTTATTTAGAATAAATCACTACAGGTAAAAAAGCACCACCACCACCTATTTCATTATATTAGGTTATTCAAACAGCATTTTTAACTGTAAATATTATGAACGGGAATATTTAGCCCTCACCTACTGCCTCTCTCTGTAGAAAGGCAGTAATTTACAGAACAGTGAAATTGCATATGTTTTGTAGTAATGCCTGTGAACACACTAATTAAAGAAGCTCTCTCTTAGAAAAACAGGAGCTTCAATAAATTACGGAGCAAAAGAGGTTTGATGTAAAGGTTAGATAATCCTGCACAGCGTGATGAAGCCTGGACCTGTCTTTTATTCCTATGACAAGGAAAGCGGAATGATGCTGATGTCTTGAAAGGCATGCAGCTCATAAAAAGGAACCAGCAGGAAATCTGAAAGAGGAAGGATGGGGCTTTGTTGGAAATAATTTTTCATCCTGAGTACAATTAGGCTCCATGGACAAGCAGGCTATTACATCCTGTCGCTAAATATCACAACCCAGAGGCCCCTAATGAACTGATTAGCATTCGTATTTCTTTAGGAAGTCAGATATATGCACAGTTGGTGCACTCTTTTATTGACAAAGTCTGTAATTATGAATATTTCTCCTATATATTAGATCGTGCTAGTTTGTCACTCATTTTATGTATGCTAGCTGAAGAGAAATTTTAGTCATTATTACAAGTCTTTTGTTTGCTTTAATTAGGAAAGTCAAAGAATATTGAACTGATTGATTTAGAGTGTTACCTCTATTCAGGGATATGTTCAATAAAAAGCACATTGAACAAAATACACTTGTAAATTTAAAATAAAAATATAGTGGTTTTATGAAGACTATCAAAATTGCATATGAACAGCTTAATTAACTGGATGAGCTCTCTATCAACCTTGCTCCCATCTCATAATTTTCCAAGTACCAAGAGAGCTGGTCCCTTGGACATGTGTGATGAGCCCCCAGCTGACTGCAGGGTTGATGGTGATTTTCACAGAAGCCTCCGGAACTGAGACACAAGGAGCTGGTCACTGTCTTTCAGCTAAGACAGAGTCACCAAGAGTTTCTTTCTGATCTCCTCTCCTCCACTTGTACTTTTAATAAACTTGTTAAATTTGCTAGAGGGAAAAAAAATTACCCAGTCATCTAGACACAAATGAGGTAGAAGGAAACCATTTCAGCTGTAAAGGCAGAACTAAACTGCCTCCAAACTGTTGACTACCTAATCAGCCACCCAGCATGAACTTCCTTCTGTGCAGTGTGAACAAAGGGAAGTGTGCAAGATCACCCTAAGGTCTGGAAGATGTTAGAGCCTGGGCGGGCAAGGTGAAAAATCAGTGATTTTACCTTCATCTTAGGATCACGATGTTGGCAGGAAATGAAATAGGAATTTAGCAAACAGTCTGAATTTAACTTTATATACATATACGTATATAGTTCATATATAAAATATATATGTGTATGTATCTTGATATAGATATATTTACTTGATATATACACACAGAAACCTAAGTGCAGTGACTATGCAGTACAAATACATGCCAATATATTTTCGGTATTAAGATGTAGAAATAGATAGGAGAGGCTGAGCTAAAAAWATATATATTTTTGACAAATATTCCTCAGAGGATTATGAATTAAAAATCTAATTCTTTATTTCTTGAACTATTATATGCAGATAAGCAATTACCATTGAACCTTGCTATGTATGCTGTGTATGATGAAGTCTTTTTTTCAGTATATTACAATTGCTTTCTTAAAGAATTGAAAGAGGAAATCCTCATTGGAGCCCTGAAGAAATCCCACTCTTGGCATTAATGAAAAATGTGAAGTGTTTGTGCAGAGGCCTTTGAAAGGTTCAGTATGTTCTTAGCAAGACTCGCTAGCTGGTGTAGTGGTAGTGTCTTAGGTAATTCTGCTTAGAAGAAACTGTTCAAATATCTCTGCACCTGTTAATTTTGAGTTCTTACGCAGAATCACGTTCCTCTTTAGGATTGTCAACATTTACTCACAAACTAACCAATACTTTAATTCAAATGCATGGTGTATATAGGTTCTTTTGAGGAAGTATTTTTGGTACAGATTAAGATCATTCTGTATCTGCCGCTGGGTAGTAGCTGTTCTTATTCGTCAGGATACCCCACAGTATTTTATTTAGCCCAATACATTAAAATCAACATAGACTGCAAGCACTTCACTATAAAGAGCCCTGTCATAAATATGCAAGACCAAACATAGGAGTGTGAAATCTTGCCACAGATAATACTCATTTCATTGCTTCACTGCTTTTATATTCCATTAATTAGCAGAATGATGATCTGGAGTCCCCTAAGTGCAAAAAGGCAGCCCATGAAGTGAAGCTACGTCATGAAAAGTTACCGCTAACGTCTTGATTTCTTCTTTTTCCCACCTGTGCTGCAGCTCAGCTGTCTTCAGTCATCCAAAACCAATAGATTGCATCTACTGATAATGATAATGCATATATGTCAACCTGTTAATAATAATTACATTTAGGACCATCGTCCTCATTCGTATTCCCCATTGTCTCCAGTTTAGTTGTTGCTGGCTAACAAAAGCCGTATTTATAGGAAAAAAAAAAAAAAAGAAAGAAACAGGATTTATTAAAACTGCCTAAGTAGAAGCATAGTCTTAGTAGAAAACTAAGTGCTTGRAGTAATGCACCAGGAAAAAAAACACCTCAGAACTGATAGTGTCTGCCATTGAAATACTAGCTAGTATCAAGTCTCCAGAATGCCACATTTGGGGTATGAAAGTGTGTCCCACATACTTGAGGGGAGTCAGTTTAAACAGTGACAATGAAGCACTTTGCTCTCCCTTTAGAATGGCTGTAATTACAGTGATATCCTGTAGGATGATGATCCATGATCTAAGAATCACAAATAAGGACCATAAAAGGAGGGTTCTAAAATAAATAGGATGTAAAAATATTTAGTTCTAGCCTGACTAAAATAAACTTTCCTGTTTTCCCTTATTATCATGCTTTCTTGTTTGTTTGTTTCTAATTCTTACTTACATGTTTCAGTAGTCCTAACTTGTATTTGTGTCATTTCTGGTTTCTTCATCATCTGTTTTGGTGACTTTTTTTCCCTTAAGATTTGAGCAGTTGTTACATATTAGTCTCAGCCACTCTCCTCCCATCAGCAACTTTTTAACATCCTTAGTAATTCTAAGTAAATTCGCTGGATACAGAGAGCTGAAAGGTAATTAGTTTCCTATAAACTTTGTGTCACTTGGGAGCCAAGCAGAGGTCCACATCACTGCAGAAGGAGAAGTGTGACTGCGACATCAATTCTCACACAGGCCGGTGGAAGCTCCTCATGAGTTCCATCTTGTCCACTCAATTGCTTGATATTTCAAGAGTAACTTTATGAAAAAGAAGGGCCTGTTTTTTTGAAAATCAAATGGGATTTGACAGGAGAACCATACATGACTTGAAAAATGCATCCAAAAAAAAAAAAAAAAGTGGAGGCTTAAAGCAGTCACTGAGCACTGAGTGGTTGGTTGTCTGTATTTATAACAGCAAGCAGACAAAAATTCTATTTGCCTAAATTTTAATTTGCTGGATTAAAAATTCTGTGGCTCATAAAGTAAAATGGCCGTAGGCTTTTTATGTATTATATGTAATATAATACATATAGCATACTACATTTACATGCTAAATACATTTAGCATACTACAAACAATATGTTCCATTTCTTTTCCTGTCTTAGCTGCTGCGTGAAAATAATAGAATAAAAATGTTTGTTTACGTGCCATTCCACTAAAATAAACAGTTTATGAAAATAATAGAATAAAAATGTTTGTTTACGTGCCATTCCACTAAAATAAACAGTTTATGAAGTAGTGCTACGTAGGGAAATAACTATATGTGATACTTCTTTGAGCTGCTGCTTTGACAAAATATATATTAGCGTGTGAGTTAGATGAGCATAGTTTCTTGKTTTTTTTTTCTTTTTAAGCTTCATTTATATGTTGCAGTACTTTAGTGCTTTTTCAAATTGTCTCTAGTAGAAGCAGTTTTGTTGCTTTCACCTCCAGCTTAATTAAATTGTATTCACATTGCAAATTGCCTTAAAAAGCATAAATACCTGATGCAGGCAGCATGAATAGAAATAAAAGCTTTGCTGCTGCTACTGCTGCACCGTTTACAAAAGCTGTTAGGATGAGGTCTCTGACTTGCATGGTTTTGATTATTTTAATATTTTATTGCATGGTTAGTAGAAGCTGCATTTTTTTCTTGAAATATTGAAATATTAGCAATTTGTATCTGTAAATGTAATATCTTTTAGTGATACTAATACTTCTAAATCTAAATTAGTGTATTTTAAAAATGTCTTAACACTATATTTTTACTGTTATTTATATATTTTGATATGAGTATAGAACCAAATTCAATAAACCAAAATTATACACTTTATTTAAAAAAAAAATATACACACACCCATGTACATATATGGGTGTGTATCTGTGCTTAATATGTGTATGTGTGTGTGTATATATATATATATATATACACACTTATATATACATAATTTACGCCATTAGCCTATGAGAGTGGCTGAAAACTTGATTTTTTTCAGGGTGCTTATGTGCACACTAAACGCTATGAGGTGTATGTGATATGGAAGGAATTACCTTCGTACTTCATCTGAAACAAAAGTATATGAAGTACAAAAAAAAAAAGTAGGAAAATATGGTTTTGACTGGATTTGCTTAAGTGTTTTTACAGCCTTAACTGCAATATACAGCTTCGTTGTTCATGCCAGAGAAGATTTTCAGAAACTTTCCCGGATGCATGAGAACATGGAAAAGTTGTATCAGAACGTGATGGGATATTATGCCATTGACCTGAAGAAAGTTTCCGTGGAGGAATTTTTAACTGACTTGAACAACTTCAGGACAATGTTCATGGTACAATTTGACCTTTTTATGCTTAAGCTTGTTGTTATTTCTTAGAAATTATTTGCATRATCATTTGGTTGTTGCACACACTAGAAGTATTTTTCCCCATTCTCAAATGACGCTTGGTACTAGTATCAGAATTTTACTTTGTGTCCTAAATTCTCTCAGGTAAGAATAAGGAGATTTGAAATATCTGTAGATCTTCTAGTTGGGAAATTAAAAATTGAGCTTCCTGTGTGCATGTATAAACTGAAGGAGAAATCATTGAAACTCTTATTAGAAATACTCTTTTTTTTTTCTGTTTAAAGGCTGCTTGTTATTTACTTAAAGATAAAGTTTCTTAAAATCATATTATATATATAATGTATTTCTCATAAAAAAATAAGTTCTAGATTTTACTTTGTTTATTTTTTTGAAATTGCTAGCAAATAAATAACAGTGATCAGTGTTGAGCTGAAAGCAGGCCCCCTACTATGGAAACCCAAACCTCCTTACTTTTCCTTAAAATACAACTTTCTCAAGCTCCATCTGTTTCTAAAAACCTTCCCTTTTGTGAGAGTAAGTTGTCTAGGATTTTACACAGTGTACACTTTAATTGCTTGCTTTTTTTTTGACTAATAATCTGGATTTTTTTATTTTCAAGTTTGTTTTTCTTTGTGTGTTAGACAATGATCTTTGAAAGGAGACTATAAATTAATCCAGATTATTGTTAGGTAGCTAATGTTTAAATTATCGTTTAAGGGCTTAGAACATGTAGTTATGGAAAAATACTTATTTCATGCGCAATTAAAAATGGCTTTGAAATTCTGGTGCCTATCTACTTGGAAGAAATGAGTTAATTTTGCCTAATATACGTCAAAACTTTCTGAAACTTGTAAAGTCTCAGCTGTGTCAGAGTTTAACAGATTAAAAACTGAGAAGGCACCATCATCAATCAGAATAAATTGCTTGACAAGTTACACTATGCCAGATTTTTCAAGCAGGGGCATTGGTTAGGCTTTCCCTATCTGCTTAACGCCTAAATTGAAACTCAGGATGTTGAAATGCAAAAATGCTAGATGTTATGAAATTTTGGCATGAATTTAATTTCTGAGGCCTAAACCATGCCTCCCATTGAGAACTGCTGTAGGGCAGAATTTCTGAATATTCAGGTTCACCTCCAGTTGCACGGTAAGTAGTGACCTAAGCCTAGTTAGTTGACTAGGTGGAGAATAGGTAGATCTCAAAGGACCTGCACCTCTCTCTGCAGGCTGAGTGTTTTCCTGGAAAAACAACAACAAAACCCCCTACATGAAACACTGATTGCAAACACGTAGCCTTTGCCTCGGGTCTTACGAAGATGTTAGACATGTTGTAGAGGGGAATGCTTCAATCTCTTGTGAATGATGAGAATTTCCGTGTAGCTGCATTTCAAAACTACACGTTTTCTGCACTGAAGGAGAATAAGGGGCTAAATTAGTTTTTATTCTAAACATTTTTTTAAAAAATAAAATAATATTTGAAGTCCCTGCTATACCAGATTAATTTAACAGACACTGAAATTTAGGAAAATTGAAGAGGAAAAATGCAACTTGCTATAGAAACATGTCAAGCTAGGAGAATGGCTATATAAATAAATATGTTTTAAACACGGGAGAGATACCAGTGGAAAACTGGCATGTATATTCCAGCAACATTTTTTTTTTTTTTTTAGTATAATAAAAGACACAGCAAAGCACTGAATTTAGCAGCACTGAAGTTAGGTAACTAAAAGATAATCCTAAAAGAGCATTGTTAAAAATKTACTATGACACAGTTAAGTGTCCTTGCTTAATTTCCATATATGCAAAATATTGATTTTAACGAACTCTGGAATTCTTTGATAACTCTGTTCTGACTTCATTGGAGGCTTTGGAATACTTATCTGTAATTCAAAGTAAACAACATTATATGGATATTAGCCAGAAGACAAGAATTTATAAACCGGGTGAATTAGTTTGTGGTTAAGAATAAGAAAAATGTACAACTAAATCACTCAAGCAGCTTTGTTTTTTTCGTATAATGGCAGCATGAGAACTAAAGCTATTCTGGAACTAAAAGTAGAAACATATTTATAGTATGGTGAAATCAGGTAATTAAGACACTCTGGCTTCTTCCCACCTTAATGTATATTTGTAAGCTGTATCTTTTGCTGAGATACATATCCCCATTTGGGGGCTAATTAATATGCTTCTAWTGTATTTATTCTCAATTTGCTTAGTCTTCTGAATAAAATGTATTAAATATAGAATGTAAAATATTTATTTGGCTTGATAAATTGAGACTGGTTGTAAGATGTACTTTTTATTTCTAGGCCTTTTTTTTTTCTTTGTTCTTAGGGTTCAAATTATTTCTTGTTAAGACTTCAGTTTTAATGGAACTTTTTTTTTCCTCCCGATAGCAAGCTGTAAAGGAGAATATGAGGAGAAGGGAAGCAGAAGAAAAACAGCGGCGTGCTAGGATAGCTAAGGAGAAAGCAGAGAAGGAAAAACTAGAGAGGCAACAGAAGAAAAAGCGCTTGTTAGAAATGAAAACAGGTAAGTGAATGTAGAAAACMGCCCATTTTACCTGAATCGACCCATTTTACTAGAAATAAAAAATGATCTGTTTTTTTTCCTTTTTCCTCACTCCATGCATTTTGGGAAAAAAAAAAAAAAAGACAGAATAAATTATTGATTTTCCCCAATTAAGCTTTACAGTAAAGAGTTCCTTAAATTTTTCCTTTACAAGTTTTTCTGTGGTTTCCTTGAGCTGTTTTTAGTAGATGTGATGTTGACTGGTACTTTTCCTTTAGAATCTATGGAATTTTGTGTGTCCAAGTATTGCATCAGTTACACTGAGAATCCCTTACACTACCTGAGAAGAAAGACACTTTCCATTATCATAAAGCCATTTCATTCATTCCTTTTAACTAAGGCTGTCTATTCATTTTTGTTCTTTTCATGACAGTAAGCCATTCCCAAGGCAGTAGAGACTCCTCTTTGACGATGTCGGTTGTTAGTTCAATTGGTTCCTATTGAAACACCTTAAAAATGCATGGCTCTTTTAAATTTATTCATTTATGCTGTGTTGTCTTTTGTACCAAAAAAAGACCAGACACTGGGAGTTCTCTCTYACGAAAGTTGATGCTGATGCTCCATACTGTTAGTTTTCTCTCTCCTCTGGAATCCCTCAGAATGATATATGACTTACTGCGAAAAGTAGCATGAGCTGCTTTCATTTCTTTTCTGAACAGACATTGTTGAACAGTTCTCAAAGCCTCATTGGTGCCTTTAGCATAAATGATTCTCTTCTGCGTTTCATTGATAGCCATAGTAGTAGGTGTGCCTCAGTTCAGAGATTCTTAGACCAAGTAGGTCTTTGATTTATTCTCAGAAGTATGTCCATGTGATGAGCTTAAAGCTTCCTCTTAAGCTTGAAGTCCTCTCAACATATAGTTTCTAATTTTTTCAAAGTAAGTGCAAGACCCAATAAGAAAGCTATCAGCAACTGCCTTTTTAAAGCTCATGGAAGATGGAGAAAGCTCCAGAAGGTTTGGAGAGTGCAAAATTGTGTCTGTATGTGTGCATGATTAGAAGTGTTTTGAGGTAGGTTAGACATTCTTTTCTAAGAAATAGGATTGATAGTGTTTTGGGGAAAATAAAATTCCTCTCTAGTCCCGCTCTACATAATTTTGTGTTCAGGCTTTCCATGGGGCAAGCTCAGATGTTAGGGACTTCTGAGTCACTTGTCCATGCATGTGCATGTGATTCTGGGTACTAAACCTGCTGCTTCAGCTAATGTGACTAAGAATTACATATTGGCACCCATGAAGCAGAGGAGCCATCAACTCCACGTGCTGGTTTGTCGGATGGTTTGCTTTTTGATTAGATCCAAGAAACGCATGGAAAGGAGTTTCTGGCTCTTACCAGCAGCCGCTTAAGGTTCAGGCTAGAATGACTGATCTAACAGCAGCAGTGGAACAACATGATGCCCAGGTGGCCTGAAGCTCTGAATGTCTCAAGTCAGATACTCAGTAAGTAGGCATCTGCCAAATTCGAATTATTTTTTTGGTTACAGAACTCCTTGAATAGTTTCTTGCACTGAGTCATCATTTTTTGAAGTCTACCTGAAAAMAGTGTTCTGGCAGCAGGTAGAACCTACGGTAGATTTTTCGTTTATTTTCTTTTTTCAGAAAGAGCAGCTATTGCAATCTAAAAAGTGAACACACACACTAAAAAGTGAAGCAGACATGTGTGAGGGTGGGGTTATTGCTTGATTTTACTTTTCCTTTTTTTTTTTAATCAAAGCTGCACTTACACRATTTTGCTCTACTTCTGCTACAATACTAGCATGACTTTCACAATTTTTTTCTTCTGTTCAGCTATAACTGCTTAATTGAAAGACTAAATCTTATTTATTGTTATTAATCTGTACATCAGTCACAAAATGCTTTCATTTGACCTGCTGTCACATATCTGACCAGGCCCTCTTTCTGTCAAAATACCAAAACACTCTTATTTGCAGTGTGACTGTGCAGAGTGTAACTGATTTTTGCTACATATTGTCTCTCTTTATGGTGACTAGGTCAGATGTTAGATTTGTAATATTACAAATATMATTGAATGAAATAGCTCAAAACTCCTTGATGTCACCATTTGTGAGTGATGCTGCTTGGCAGTTACCTTGTATGGGTTTCAGATAGATACACACTTGCAGTAAATTACAGTCAATACATATATTAACTGATTCTTCAAGATATTTTTGAGCAAGTAAGTACCTTTGAGCATAATGTACCTTGCATTTCTGCTCCTCAGAGTCTTCATCAATACCAGCATTTAACTGAAAATGACTTGAGTGTTAGGGATGCCTGCGTACCGGTGTGTGCTGTGTACACACACTGGTTTAACCATGTTGCTCTGAAGTTCATAGGATAGGAAAATTGCATGAAATGGCTTAAAGAGAGAAGATCCTTGTTTCACCCGCCAGAGGAATCCTGAAGTTCTTTGACATAAACTATGCAGAGAGGCCATAACTCCGCACTTACACTTGAGATCAAAGTTCTCCTAGAATGACMATCATTAAGAACGCTTCTATACCAACAGTTTCTTCTTGCATATTGTTCATCATTATCACTATCATTCTACCTCTTACTGCCAATCCCTATCACTTTTGCATCAGACTGCCTTTGAAAAACTGTTACACCAAATTCGGTGTTTATATGGTCATTTTGTGAATTAGATAAATATGCAATCTATATRTTCAATCTTCATCAAGTTTTCCATTTTATTTTTTAATGCTCTAAATATGTTTATATCAATATTTTTTGCTTCCTGAAATATATTTATAGTATTTTATAAATACAGATTTTAGGTAGGCTTCATAATAACACACATTTGGATCTCTAATTAAAAGACCATAGATTGTTGTCATTTTATATAGAATAAGTTGATTTCTTGCAAGTGTTTTACAGATTTGACATTTAGGTTCTGATCCAGATCCCTGTAAATTTTAATTTGCTAACATTTTGAATTTTGCAGCTCAGATGGTGACAATTGTGCGTGTCCTAATAATCAAATGTCTTAACATTAAAGTAGGCTGATAGTCTTAAGTTCACACAACAAAAATAGCACCTCTATTTTCCTTGCTGTACCATCTTAAACTGAAAAGCATAGGAAATCTAGTAAAAACTTTGAGCATTTAAAAGTTGAATGACATTTGCTATTTGGAATATTTGTGATACTAAAATCCGTCCTCTGAGTATTGTGTGGGACACAAAGTGGTCCTCGGCATGAGATGCTTTGTAAACACGGCTGCTGTGCTGGGTCTTTGGGAAGGCAGCTCCAACCACCACGTGCTGCAGCTCCAAAGGTAAATAGCCAGTGGAAGGAGGATCTTTATGTAAATGCCACTTGTCTGCATACCATTAACATTCAGAGACATCCTTGCTCATGCTGCTYGCATTCTCAGTAGAAAGCACACCAATCAATTATTTTGATCTTATCAAAGTGAAGAGAATCCTATAACTGTGATAACACCAACTAAATTTATTGTAATATAATTGAGAGCTCCATCATTGTGGCATCTTCATTGTGGCTTACTTAGAATGCTGCTTAGTAACATGCCACTTTAATCAGTGATTATTTACCAAGGCTGCCCTTTCCTATGCAAAAGCAGGGAAGCGATGCTAGAATGATCTCTCAAATATCTGATTTCTAATCTAGAATATTACTTTTTGTTACTTGGTTTCATTTTTATCACAGTCCACTGGTTTTTAATCTATGTTTTAGTTGATTTAAACAGTCATGACTTTAATTGCAGTCAATTTTGCAGAACCTCTTTTTGCAGGAGTTRTGTATTTTTCTCGTTTTGGGAAAATGAATGTTTGTGTTTCAGAAGATTCTTAAGTGTGTGTCTTTTACTTTTTGATGTTTTGTTTGTTTGCTTGTTTCCAAAAAGTTTACTTCACAACTTAGCAGACTGTAATGAATATGGATATTTACAGGTAATATTTTGTATAAACAAAAATGCACCATGGAACCTAGCATTGACAATTTAATTAGTGAAAACAAGATGTGTAATTAGAATTCAGATTCTGTCAAATAATTTTGAAATTTAAAAGCTCTACCTATATCATAGAATCATAGAATYCTTAAGGTTGGAAAGGATCTCCAGAGATCATCTAGTCCAACCCCCCTGCTCCATCAGGGACACCCAGAGCATAGGACACAGGGTGGCATCCAGGCRGGTTTGGGAGATCTCCAGAGAAGGAGACTCCACAACCTCTCTGGGCAGCCTGTTCCAGGGCTCTGTCACCCTCATTGTCAAGAGATTTTTCCTTAAGTTCCTGTGGAACTTTTGGTGCCTCAGTTTGTGGCTGTTTCCTCTAGTCCTGTCGCTGTCCACCACTGAATAGAGGCYGGCCCCTCCTCCTCACTGCTTCCCTTAAGGTATTTAAACACACTGATCAGGTCACCCCTCAGCCTTCTCTTCAGGCTGAACAGGCYCAGCTCTCTCAGCCTTTCCTCATAGGGCAGATGTTCCCTGTGTTCCCTRTTGGCCCCTATATTGGTAAGAATAATCAAAAAAAAAATTTCTCCCTATCTCAAGTATATAAGGTCACTATTTGACTAGTTTCTTCAAGTTTGGAGCAGTGATTCAGCACCTCTCTTTCCAAGGTCTTCTGCAGATGTCACAGAAGCAAAGCAACAGTGTTCTTCTCTCTGAGGGACTGCAATGTTGATTATAAGTCTGTTTAGTTTACGGCATTGACAGTTTCTAACATATTTGTAATTTTCTGTTTTAGAACATCTGCCAGGCTGCTTTCCTGAAAACCACAGCTTTTGGACAATAGTAGAATTATTACTGGATTATGTGGATTTAAGTTCTCTTTTGTTCTCTTAGGTTAAATAACAAAGAGGAGGAGGAACTGTGGTACAATTGTAATTTTCCAGTCCATGCTCACTAACATTAATACTTAGTGGGCAACTGACAGTTCATGGTGAGCTTGAACTCTACATCTGAATTAGCTTTATATCTATTAAAAAAATAAAACAAG